GCACAGTCTTATAAACCATCTGGTCTCTGTTCCCCACTTCCTGCGCACTGTACTAGAATCTCAGACAATGTTATCTGCCTTCCTTGTTATCGCCTGTGAACTACAGAACACTTCCCCCTATGTTATGGAGCAGAGGAGAGGGTGAGGTGTTTGTAGTCCAGATCACAAGAGCAGCTAAAGGGAACACTGCTCCACCATAGATACAGTACAGTGAGTGAGCGTTGTCACCCTAGGACAGGAAGTGTGTCATTGGCAGGATCACCAGGGGAAAAATAAAGGGAAAAAAGCCCACGCAGCCACGTCCTCTAGTCACAGGAGCTTTGACAGGATCTGTAAATGGAGAGACTACAAGTCCTGTGTGCGTGCAGTTGTCATTGAAATACAAGCGTGGTGACGTTATCACTAGTCCAATTCATTCTTTCTCCCGTCCATGTTACTCGGTACAGACATAGGTGGGGTGGGACCGTCTGCAGGACATTGCAGAGCATTGCGCCCGCCGTCCACCGATCGCAGCTGCAATGCTTCACTGGTTCAATAATAAATGCAGATCTGTCCTTCATGAGGAAGTTTTGCATTTATTATTTTCTTAGGTGGACTTCCCCTTTAATGATGATGATCTCCGGGGCTCAGGACACGCCGGCACGTCGGAGGGTCTGTGAGCAGTAATCGGTGTTCCTGCTCATGGTGATAGTAGAGGAGCCGAATGGAATATCGGAGACATATACTGAGGCGTACGGTAGCTACCGGGGACCGGCGGTAATCCGGACTGAGAGGAGTCCTCCCCCCTTCCCCAAGTGGCTCCGTCGGCTAACGAAGGGAAGGGGGGAGGAGTTCGGTGACGTCACCGGACTCCTCCCCCGTTCATTAGCCGACTCAGCCTCTTGGGCCGGTGAGTTTGCCCGAGAAACTTTCTGCACGAGTGCCAGCCAAGGCATCGGCCTATACACATACAGCACAGCAATGAAGTCATACAATGAACTAGGATCCCACTAATCCAGCACGTTATTATTCTGAGTTGCCCCACTCAAGCGGCGGCCATATTGAGTGGGGCACGTGAGATGAATAACGTGCTGGATTAGTGTGATCCTAGTTCATTTTATTACTTCATTGCTGTGCTGTATGTGTATAGGCCAATGTAGTTCGATCTGTATGTGCGTTATAATCGAAATTCATCGATTAAAAAAAATTTAGATTAATTGAACATGAAAATTGTAATCATTACCACCCCTACTTAAAACCAAGATTCCGGAAGCACCAAAATATCTCTGTATGAGGTTCCGTCATCAGATAGAAACATTTTATAAAAACATCGGCGACTTTTACTTACACGCGACTTGTTATAGTTTGTTTCATGTTAAATGCAGTATTGTGTCAGTGTAACATTCCCGGGTGTGTATTCCCTCCCATAGAGATCACAGGACTCCCCTGACAATGAGTCATCTGCTTTTCTCTCCAGAAGGATGGCGCCATCTTTGCTCAGGCATCATCCAGGGTCACCCTCTACTTCCTGGACTGAGATGCCGGCTCATAGAGCACACAGTCATGTAAATTCTGGTGCCTGTGCAGTTCTCTGCTGTGTTCACAGTAGGGGTCCGTTCACAGTAGGGGTCTGTGTGATTAACGCAATGGTGCCGCGCAACGGGCCTACTGCGTATTAGTGCCATTCAATAGTTTGAATGGCACCTTAAACGCACCTCCCACCCGCAATGCGATCGATCACCCGCAACATGCGGTATCACAGTACCATGTGTTGCGGTGCAATTACAAAAAGTAGTACATGCAATAGGCCCCACCCACTACAAGCTACCTACAGGAGGAAGTGGAGACAAGACCAGTCACCCTGCACAAGGAGAGAGAGCAGCAGTGAGCGGTCTTTATTACAGGAGGGGGCGGAGACAAGACCAGTCACCCTGCACAAGGAGAGAGAGCAGCAGTGAGCGGTCTTTATTACAGGAGGGGGCGGAGACAAGACCAGTCACCCTGCACAAGGAGAAAGGACAGCAGTGACCGGTCTTTATTACAGGAGGGGGCGGAGACAAGACCAGTCACCCTGCACAAGGAGAGAGAGCAGCAGTGAGCGGTCTTTATTACAGGAGGGGGAGGAGATGAGACCAACCACCCTGCACAAGGAGAGAGAGCAGATCTGGACGAAATTCACAAAGCTCACCAAGATTCCAGAGGAATACACATGACTCTTGTATTTAGATGATATTTGCTTATCTCGGAGTTCAGCTTTAAGAATAAAGTAGCATATAACATTATATATATATTGTAATAAGGGAATTCCTCAGGATAGAATGACTCCTGACAATCATATTGTCAGGAGTCATTCTGACAATATTCCTTCAAAACTGAATTGGCATACCAGTTGAAATTTGACAACTGGCTTGTAATGGGAGTGCCTCTGTGATCTGATTGGAGCCTACACAGCGTCAGGTGAAGCAGTTCCCTGTAAGTGGGTTTTCATCTTTCGGAATGGAATTCCGCTCTCAGTGAAAAGTTTGTAGCTGGTTCCCGGCCAAGTGCACTTAGGAGATATTAAGCAT